ATCGTAGTTAATCCTGCACACTTATCTCAACACATAGATTAGACAACAAATGACAATTGACTTCATCATCAAAATCCGAGATTCAACAGTAGTGTGTACTACATGGTGTCTTTGGCATTTGTCCCTGGAATGTTGATTTAATTATGGAAAAGTTCTACTGCATGTAAATCCATCAGGTTCTAGGTAACTAGTTATATGAGATGCCTTGCAAGGACTGAATTATTCTTAAATGTTTTCAACTTATTTCTTTTAGTAATAAGGAAGTCCAACTTGAGCTAACTTGGTGTTTTTGGACTACAGAGGCAATAACCAAAATTGATTCCTACTTAATGTACACTTCTTTCTAATTGGATCACTCTTTCCTTTTCCTGTTGTCTCCTCTATCTCCCACCATGCTTCTGTTTTTTTCAAAACCAACTAAAGATTGGGTTTTTATTTGAACTTCTCAATTCTTTTTCACTATTTTATAGTCCCCTTGTCTATTTGTTTTTTTTTGTTCCCTTTTTTATATCTCATCTGTTCTGTCATCCTTATGACAGTACTGGTTCACATGTCACAGTTTTGTTAGGGGCAAAAGATGAAATGTGCAGCAGAGTGCAGTCGGCACATCAAAGAAGAGAATGCAATGTTTTGGTTTTTTCACCATAAGCAGAGGTGTCATAAAATAAGAACCAATTGTATGAACCACTATATTACAACGAAAACCCAGAGCCATCGTTAGCAAGCTGTGTTGCTTGCCGCTGGCTAGAGCATGTATTGTGCAGGTTCCCTAGAAACCTCCGCTGCTGTAGAGAAGGCATGGAAAAGATTTTATTTATCCTAATGGGTGGGGGGTCAAATTTTTTTGGTAATTTTCTCGGTAAAATCAGTAAATAAATCAAACTTTAGTCTTGGACAGGTTATATTTGACCTCATTGATCCGGCCTATCAGATATTGGTTCAAGTAGGGATTAGATGTTTTATTTTGTTGATGTTTTTGTGCTTTCTTAGTACAAACAGCAAATGATAGTTACAGTACTTTTAAAATTAAGTTGTTCGATCTAATTGGATCTGATCAGATCTAACCTAATCTTGACAGCTTTATTCAGAGCTGCATCAAGCATATAGCAGGCTTCAATTTTTAGTTTCCCCTGATTTCTGTAGTTTGTTGCCTTAAATTTAATATGATGTTAATTAAGTGATAATCATGTGTAGCTTGGGGACCTCGGAACTCATTTGTTGGTAGTACGCACATTTGAGGAAGGTTAATTTGTATTCTTGGAAAATCAGGGAAGTGTGGTCATCTCAGTTTACTGCTGGTTTTTTATGAATTTTTTTTTCATTGAATAATTTCCCCTTAGATGAGGATGCAATTTTGTGACTTCTGCCGGATAGTATCAATATGGATTGTGTTACCCTCAAATCATACTGTTAGTGGCCCTTTGGAAAGACAGATTAATTAACAACAATTATCATGCCAAATTCTTTTTCCAGGTGTCTTTTATGCTTATGCTTGAAGCAATTTGTCTTGATATATGGTATAGTATGGAAAATCATGTTGCATTTGCAGTTAGACATGCTTGATTCTGAGATTGTTTTCCTGATCACTATTAAGCATATCATACTGACAACCCAAGCATCATCATCATGAGTTTTGGGCTGTGCTGAGAGTTTGCCACTGCCCCCTTGATAACTAGTACTAGTTTGCACACGCAATGCTCGATGGTATGCACATGTCTGCCCAAGGACCAGTATACTACCTACCAGTACATGAAATTAGATTCTTTCTGTTAAATGCTTTGCATAAGTGGTTTTCTAGTTTAAAATTTTTGGAGACTCTAGCATTGTTTCCTGCTAATATGACTTTAAAGGTATGCATTGGTTTCTTACGAAGTTGTCGAAACACAAAGGTATCTAACTGGTGGCAATGAATTTTTTTTTCTTTTTTTGAAGGTCAATCCCCAATTCTATGCGTTCAGATGGATTACACTGCTTTTGACTCAGGAGTTCAATTTTGTGGACAGCCTTCATATATGGGATGCACTTTTAAGTGATCCCGACGGACCTCAGGTATTGATGTCATTTTTTTGTTTCCTTTGCTCGGTTAACGTGAAGTATCCTTGTGATTGCAGGAAACCCTACTTAGGGTGTGTTGTGCCATGTTGATCCTGGTCAGAAAATGTCTCTTGGCCGGCGATTTCACTTCCAACCTAAAGCTACTGCAGAATTATCCACAAACAAACATCAATCATCTCCTCTATGTTGCCAATAAACTGCGTGGTTCTTCGGCTGGTTAAAGTTGCAGAAAGTATCATGGCATCGTTGTGTCTGTTGAACACTTGATCTATTTGTAAAGTGCGAAACTTGTGAAACAATGTAAATGATTGTACGAGAGCCTGTGCACTATTTGTGTGTTTTTGGTGAATTAAAATGAGATTGAAACTAGTTGTCTTTCCATGTCCTTATGCTTAATCCGCTTAATAGTTGTGTCAATGGGTAATGCGAGTGGGTCTTAAATAGTTATCGAACACTGGATATTGTTCAAGAAATAATCCAAATCTTAAACAGGTAAGGACGGAGTTTGGGATGTATTAATACATCAAATATTACGTCTACAAGTAGAGAATGAAGTTGTAAGTATGATAATTTAGGAGGATGAAGTTTTAGCTGACAAACACAATGAATTTGTGTATGATTCAACTTTGAGAGCAGATGAAAAAGAAATATGAAATATAAACAAAATGTCCAAAATTGAAAGCAAATATTTTGGATTGAAGTTGTGATAAATATTAAATAATAACCACACAAAGCAAAATTGGTAGGATTTCGAGAAACAAGAATAAAAATTCCTATGGCGTTGATGTTGAACATTCATTTCTTGTACATATCATAAAGTCGAGTTCCCTCGACCCCCTCAGGCATGTCCGAGGGGCATAGGTTATATTGCCCCAGTCATCTTGATGAGAGACCCCAAGGCATAGATCACGTTATCTTGACCTTTCACGAAGTCATGCTCGAGACACATGGGTCTAAAAAACTCAACCCCCTAAGAGAGATACTTGAGACATATAGATCAAGCAGCCTTGACCAACTACAAGAATTTTATAGAACATTAGGACCCTCCCTCCAACCTTAACATTGCCACAAATCGAATGAGCAACCATTGTGCTTCAACACTTCTCCGTAAGAGTAATCGAAGCATACCTTCATCGACCAATTATCACTTGATATATGATCTTCACGTGACAATCGAGTTAGCATTAGCATAAGGGAGGCAAAGCATACTCTCTCAGTTAATCCACATGAACATAGTCTAGAACAATTAGTTATAGGCTACCTCCTCCCTCTATCGCCTATGTGAACAAAAACCTAAGAGAAGACTATTAGAAGCGATTAGAGACTATCTTTCTGTAAAATATTTTATGAAATATTCTGTCACTCTATTACTAGTTTCAATATGATTATGAGCTTTTATAGTGTTTTTACTATTTTTTTATTTTTTTCATCTCACCTGTGGGATTAATTTGGATGTGAAAGAGATCGAGTTGAGAACCTATCTCGATCTTAATCTTCGTGTACTCACCTCGAGGAGTACCGAGTTTGTACCTCAGGGGTATCTCAATCTAAGTCATGAGCCATATATCATGTTGAATAAAACGTTAATAACTTTTTTCCTTACCAAAGCACAAAAATATTTTAGTTAGACTGCCTTATTTAGGGCTGGATACAATCACCCTGGAAAATTTTCACAGGTCAGGTCTCTACATGCCACGTCACCCCTGACAGTCCGAACATCTGTTTTGCGACACATAATTTACGATATCAATTGGATTTGCGCAATCCATCACCGTTCATCTCTCTCTTCGTGTATGCGTGTCGCGTTGGCGTCGAGCGGAACGCTGCGTGAATCAACGGCACTGCTTGACGCGTGGCTTCTGAACAATTGTTCTCGGACACGCAGTTCACACGATCCATACGGTTTGCGGAAATCTACACCGTCCGTAGCTATCTACGTGCATGCGTGGCGCATCTATCATCCGTTGATTCATGGAAAGATGGTCTATCGGAGCGCTGCCACACGTGCATTGTCCGTGGCCTTGTGAACACTTGTTCTGCGACACGTAGTCTACACGATCTTTTGGATTTTACGGAATCCTCCACCGTCGATGGCTTTACGTGTGCACGCGTGGCACACTTAACATCCGTCGATTTATGCAAGGGAAATCGCTCTTCGGGAATCAACCGCACACGCAACGCAGGTCGCACGTGTGCGGTCCGTTACGTCACCTGTTATTTCAGCAGCGGTGTGGGTGGCGGAATACGAGCTATAAATTTGTCGGCGAACGAAATCGGGGAAAATAATCGTTCTTTTTGGCTTCTCCGTCGTCGCGTTCGTCCCCCTCGCGCCCCTCTTCGATCCATCTCGATCGTCCACTAAAACCCTAGCCCCCTAAAGGCCGTATCCAGCAAAGATCGTCTCATTTTCCGTCGATTCGTACCCCCAATTTCGCTGGTTGGGGTGCGATTTCTTGCTCCTTATTCCTGAAAACTCTGCACTCGCTTCGAGGTTCTTTAGATACTTCCTGGATTTCTTTGCTCTTCCTTGGATTTCTACCATCCACATGTATGAGCTTTTGTGGACCACATATAATTTGGGTCTTTTTCTTCTTTTTGTGATCTTGTTGTAGATTTGGTGGTAGTTTTTGTTAATCAATGTAGGTATACCTTTAAGAATTGGTTGGCGCAAAAACTTGTTATTGTTATTATTAATTTATTATTATTATTATTTTACGTTAGGTAATCAATCTCATGTTTTTCTTAAATCGTGATGGAATTTCTTCTTTAGTAAAAAAAAACTTAACCTTTTGGAATTTCTTGATCGATCATACAATCTTATTCTATTTTCTTTATACTTTCCCTTTATTTGATTGGAAAGTCAAAAATAGGCCATAAGAGTTTCTGTTTCCGTTTTGTTTTGCACAGATCGTTTTCTTATAATGTATCGTTCTTGAAAATCTATGTTTTCCTTGTGTTGTAAAGCATACTGATGTCTAGCATGAACACGCTTAGACCATCAACGCGAGGTGCAACGATGTCCGTGCGGGATGATATAAGTGGGAACATGGTTCTGAACTTGGACCTCAACTTTCCGCCGCTAGAGTGCTGGCTGGCTGAGGGGACTTCTGGTTCTAGGCATCCATGGATTTCCATTACCCAGATTGGTGATGCTATTGAATCGCAGCAAGGGTCTACCGCACCACCAAGTGATCGTCTAAATAACTCGATCATTGATCTAGAATCGATAGAGGATGATGTTGTGACCCTCGCATCCTCAAGAGGGTTTCCTCAGGTACTTCGACTTGTAACCTATGTGGAGGAGACTTATTTCGTGTATAAGTGCATTAGCTTTATCTCTAGTTTTTGGAATAATTTTCTCTATTTTATTAGAGTTACTAAATAGGATGAAACACTTGCTTTCATTTAGTAGAGTTGAAGATCAATCTTATCTTTGGAGTCACGCACTATATATTGTCTTGTAATGAACCATTCATATATGTGAACTTGATCATTGCTAGGATGCCTCAGACTGTATTTGTTTGATGATCTGAGTTATATTTCTTATTATTATTATGTTGTAAACCAATGTATCTATGTGGTTGATTGTTTTTCAAGCATTGTGTTGTGCTTCATTTGGTAATGAGTTCTGTTTTTATTGGTTTAGGGGAGGGACTCCTTTAGAAGGAGCCAGCCTGTGATTGTCGTCCCGGATGAAGACCTGGGGATAAATTATAGAAGAGCAGGTCTGTTTATGCTGTTGTTGCTATTTGATGAACTATATGAATGTAAAGTATGAGATCCCAAGTGCTAGTGCAAATATAAATTGCCCTTGCTATGAGAATGTTGCAATTGATCATTTTGGTACTCTGTTTATTTTCCCATAGTTCATATGTCACCACAAATTTCGAAGAAGATTATTTAAATTGCTTAATGTTGTGAAGTCAATTATACATTTGTGTTATCTTTGTTTTTTTTTTTCAGAATTAAGCATCAACTTTGGATGCAAAAATGGTTTTTGTTGATGTTGTAGTAGGCTCTGGAGAAGTTGATTGAGTTGAAAATTAAAAAGAAAATAGAGATTGGGCTCAAGGATAGATATAGTTTTTATTAATATTGTATGGTGCTGGACTACACCTTTTTAAGCTCTAAGTCTTTTCTATCCACTAGGTTGGCATAACTATTCTGCGGTTTTGTCTTTTGTTTCTTATCATCTCTTTATTACAAAGTCATATTGTTAGTTAACAATAGCCCAAGAGTCTAACTGTTCTGACTGCAAAAGTGCACAAACACCTTGTACATTTTTTAGGTTTATGCAGCTAAGAAATTCATGGGTGATTTAACACTAATCCTTGTGATGATGTCCTTAGTTGTGTGTATAAAATTTTAAAATTAATGTCTTTGAGAACAAACTTAATCCATGGTAGTCTAATTTGGTTTCAGCCAGATTTCAGTTGAGGTCTTGGACAGCCTAATCCAACCTGACATGGTTCAATACATGTATAAGTTTCTGGATGGTCCAGTTTGGCCTTATTTCTAGGGAACTGCAGACTGAACCTGTAAATTGTGGCTTGAAAATTTTTCAAATGTAAGCAAACTGTTTCTTTCTGGAATCCATCCTAAACCAAAATATTATGCGCTGGTTTGGTGTGAAGTATGGTTTATATACATAATTCATATGGTTGAAGTTCAATGATTACAGAGAAATGCAATAATATAGGTGGCAAAGCAAATATTCAATTTATGTTGATAGGATATTTGATAGAAACTAAGGAGCACAATCTTGTACCGGATTCGGTATGTATCGTTGGTACCAGTGTCCTGATAATTGGCACACCGCTATGTATTAATGAAGGAGGTGGTGGAGATAGAGGAGGAAGAGGAAGGTAGAAGAGGAGCGCTGGTGGAAAAGGAGGAAGAGGAAGGATGAGGAGATGGTGGCAGAAGAGGAAGGAGGGAGGAAGAGAGAGGAAAAGGAGGAAGAAGGAGGAGGTTACCTGAAAAGAGACAAGTAGCGGATGGAAAGGCTGTCGATGGAGGTCGAGCGAAGCCAGGGAGTAGGAAGAGAAGGAGAAGGCGAGTTTCGTGCCCGTAATGGTTATGTATTGGTTTGGGTGATAAGGAGTTCTTGATAGAAACATAATATGAATTAAAAAAATTTAAGTTGCTACATGAGTGTTTTTTAAGGGTTTGGTTTTGATTTTGGAAAGTAAATGAACTTTTTGTTCATGAATTAAACTACTGTTCATGTTTACTTTTTGTTATATTCTCTCCCCTCCATTCTCTCTCCTCCTAGATTCAGTTCCTTGATAGGAATCATGATCTCCTGCTTGGATAGGATGAATTTTTGTAAGGGTGTTAATGATGGACAACAATGTTTTTGTGCACTGACAAACAGAGTTGAGTGACATTCACCCACTTCTTATCCATTTATGACAACAAGCTTTGTCAAAAAGCAGATAGCCTTTAGATCCTTTCTTTTTTTAAGATTCATAAAGTTGAGAATAGTTCTGCTATTGCTTGTAGGACATGTTCCTGGTATTGGTCCAAATTGGTTGAATCAATGTAGCATCTCAATTGGAAAGTAATGACAGTGAAAAAAGTGGAGATTCAATACTTAGAAATCCCAAAAAAAAAGTGAAAGAGAAGTAAGAAAGATTAAGAAATAAAACATTAAAATGTTTGTGGAGTTAATTTCAAACCATAAGTATAGATGAGCTGATACATTACCAATAGGAAGGCATAACTCTATCACCCAACTTAGTTTATAATAGCTACAGCCCATCAATATTGCTTGATTATGTTTGGATTGTCTGATCATCTGACCAACTTTGGTGGCCAAAGTTCTTGTCCAATCTTGATTGTGTGTTTCCAAAAACCATGTGTTATATGAATATTACATTAATCTTGAGAAATTTAATTGATTTGCTTTTACTTTTACTATTATAACTGCCATATAGCTATTTTTTTATTTTCTTTCTGTTTTGTCTGGTATTCACTCATCCTTTTGTCATTGTTGTAGAACAACGAGTGGCTAGATCATCTTCAAACACTCGCAACAAGCGTCCAAGAAGTTCAACGAGCAGGACAATTATTAATTGTGACCTTTATCCCGATTTAGAACAGGATCTTATTGCAAAGGTAAAAATGGTTTTTCCTTTTTTTTGTAATATTAATACATTCTGTTGCTTAATCTTCCATTTAGCTATAAACAGTTTCTCTTATTTTAAAGGTAATTAATTCAATCATTTTGCAATTATCTAAATGATGTCTTGGTAGGCTTTTCCTGTATTTTCAGCTTTATAATATCAGGAATCAAACAATATCTAAATAATAGCCTTGTGAGCTTTCCTTATTTGAAGTTTCAGTTATAGAAGGAAATTAAACAGACATAATTTCTGAATAATATCGTATTATCTGAAACTTTGCTCTGGTTTACAGCATCGATCAGCATCAGGACAGCAGAATAGATGCTACTATATGATATGCTCTGTGGTACTAGTAAGGGAATATGTTTGCAAATGGATTGAAGTAAAATATTAAGTAATGCTCTCAATTGCAGGAATAGTTGTGTAAAGAAAAAGAGATCAGAGAGAGAGTAACCAAGGGATAAGTAAATTGGAATAAGATGGAAAGAGAAGTAATGAGACAAGAGACCGTGCTCTTTGTTACTTTTATGGGATCATGATGTATGAACCTGCCCGTGGTTGCAAATCCCTCTTCGAATAAGAACATAACTGAATATTGGTTTCCTCTATCATTTTCTTAGGACTAGCAAGCCCCTGGCCATCTGATGCTTTTCCAATCAGTTCACCTAAAGGACTTTTCAAAAGAAGCAAACTTGTTTACTGCAATTGGAGCTTAAAAAGGCAAAGCAGGATTTTAAAACATGCCAGATAGAAAAGCATGACAGGAGTCCAAATTGCATGAATAAATAATTGTGTCATGAGGATATGACATATGAAAATATTTTTGTTTATTTACTAGTGCTTGTTGTATCAAACCATTCAACAACAATTTCTCTTTTCCTCGTGAACTTACAATTGAACTGAAACCTTGGGATCGGGCAACCACAAGTTGGTGGTGAATCAATCCTCTTATGAATCTTCATGTGTACCTTCAGATGTCTGGACCATTTGGACCCTCCACTGCAGCACTGGACACTGTTGTTAAAGGCTTGTCATGGTGTGAGGCCCATCAAGGCCCTTGTGCCTTGCCTAGATTGAGGTTATAAGTGGCATATCAAAAAGTAAGTCTCACAAAAAGGGTTTACACATGTAGTTGCAATTAGATTTCCTTTCTAGAGACAAAATCATGAGATGGGAGTGCTTTGCTTTTTGTTATTATTAGACCTTTCCAATCATTGGGAATGGAGAAACTAATATAGTGACAATTTTCCTTCAACTTATATTCACATTGCTGCTCTCGCAACATGACATTTTTTTCATCCCAGATGTGAGGCTTATATAATGTCCTCGTGTTTTGCAATGAACACTTTGCTTTCTGCCTTTCCCAAATGAGATAATAAAAATCCAAATTTCAGATATTTACATAATGAAACCATTGAGCAGTCCTAGTTTTCTTACCTTGTGGAAGTGACTGATTGGCATTTGGACGGTATCAGACTATGAACCATAGAAGATAATGCCCTTAAAAACTTTCATGTTGTACAGGGGCTATAATACTTGCCAGAATTTTCTCTTTTTTATCCCCTATTTCCTAACAGCCACACAAGCAATGCTGGAAGTGGCTCCTTTTACTTTGATAGGTGAAACAGATGCCCATTCTCCAACCAGGCTCTCCATCATATGGTACTATGCATTGGATGATCTTAGGCTGCTATAATGTTTCATTAACTGGTATTTGCTATTAGGAGTGGGGGGTTTTCCTTGGTTGTTATTGAAGTCTAAGTACATTGATGCCTTGGGGAAACTTATAAACTGGTTTCTTTTTAGTTAAACAGTGTCGCGGGAACAAATTATTCCTGGCCTTTGGTGCAAGGGCAGAGTCCTCATTTGAATAGCTGAGCAAGAGTTTTAATCCTCTTTGCTCTTCATATACATAGCTGTTAAATCAATAGTTTTAAGTAATCCATGCGCATAACCATTGAAAATCTTAGTTATTACCTGTTTATGTTTCTCTTTTCGTCTGTTCGCTTTTGTGATCTTTCTTGTTAATTATTCACACCGAACTTTGACTTGTAAACTGCAGAGGAAGAAATCCAAACCAGAGCCTGTGGTGTTAACTAGGAAGGAACCCACCTTCACCTGCCCTGTCTGCTTGCATGCTTTGGTTGATGCATCATCAACTATTTGTGGCCATATTTTTTGCCTGCAATGCATAAAGTCTTCCATTCAGGCACAGAAGAAATGCCCAACCTGTCGGAGGAAGCTTACGATGAGCAGTTTTCATCGCGTGTACCTTCCAGCAACCCATTAACGTGACCACCCCAAGCAGATCTTTTGTGCATTTCGACGGGGCCTCCTATCGATTCCCAATGCCATGCTCTTGAATTCGTTCTCCATTCTGATACCAGTTTTTTAGTTTCTTTTCTACAGGTTTTGGAACATTCTCCAATTAAATTTTTAAGTCGATGTGTTTATATATGCATTCAAATTTCATTTGCTATACCCATCTGTAATCAAGCTAATAACTGTATTCAGCTCTATATATATTAACCAATATAGTTTGCGGCGTAAAACCATTTTTGTCAGTTTTGGGGCCTCATCCTGTATTCATGTAAACCTCCACTGATCTAAAAGTTACCTACGGAAATAGCAGATGGCAGTCCACAAATTCTGGTTCAGACATTATGGTTGGCGCCACCATTTTTTAGCTTTTCTGCACTCGAAATTTAATGTAGTGGAAGATGTTGAGACACTTTTATTGAAACTGGATCTGAAATTTCAAGAAAATTTGTGATGTCAAATGTTGGGTCTAAATCTTTTGCATATGTGCTTGGTGTCTTCTGGCTTACATCCTCTGAACTACGGATACTTCAAGTTTATTATTCAAGCCAACATGGTTGTCTTGTATCTTACAAAAAGAATTTTCTATGATTCCAGTTTCCTCGCCTTCATATCTCTCTCTCTCTCTCTCTCTCTC